GACACAGGATATGTATAATGTGAGTATTCTCCTCTCCTGAAATGCTAATGTTCTGTATTAACATTCTTGAAGACTCGCATTCTGATTGGTCCACCCGGACCGCAACCTGATTGGTCCATTAAATGACTGTGATTGGAGCGCTAAGAATCTACCGCGATTGGCCGAGCCGATCGCAGGAGATTCAAAGCGCTGCCATTGGCCGCCGAGCCGCCGGCCGGCTGTATAAAGCCAAGCGGCTCTCACACTTTAACTGTCCTTATTCAGATGCTACAATAAAGAGCTGATTGTTCACTTTCACGTCTCGCCTCTTATGTGACCCGATCCACCGATCTAACACTGGCGACGAAGGTGGGATCGTGAGGCGAGGACCAACTAGCACGTGGCAACGGTGACCAGCGCCCTGCAAGATGGCCAGCACCCTGCCGCCCGCTCCGTTCGACCCAGCAACCGAAGACTGGGAGTCCTACATCGACCGCTTCCAGATGTTTCTGGAATGCAGCAACCTCAAGGACGCCAACGGCCAGAGGAAACGGGCAGTATTCCTAACACACTGCGGGCCCGCGGTGTTCAAAATGGCCAAGGCGCTGGCAAAACCCACCGACGTCAAGGAGATGGACTGGGCTGACCTCGAGCCCATCTTGTGCCGCCATTACGCCCCTACCGTGCCCATCCTCATTCGTAGGCACGACTTCTACCACTGAGATCAGCACGAAGGCGAGACCATCGGCGACTTCGTGGCCCAGCTGCGGAACCTGGGAGGCCCCTGCGAATTCCCCGACCTGGACCAGGCGCTTCGGGACCGAGTCGTCCTCGGACTCCGAGACCCTGTGCTGCAGAGCCGGCTGATGGCCAGAGGCAACATCTCCCTCGCCGACGCCCTCGCCGAGGCTACCGCCGCCGAGGCCACCCGCCAGTCAGCAGCCCGGATGAGGCAAGCCAACACAACCGAACGGCCACCGACCAACGAAGCGACCCCAGCCACCGCGAAGCCCGGGGAACCCAGCCATCGAGAAACGACCACGCATCATGGCAACTTCGAACCCCAATCCGACACCGAGGACGAAGACAAGGAAATCCATCGGCTGCAGACCGAGCGCGACCGCCGGGATCGCAGGGGACGTAAGTCGAGTTTCCATTGCGCCGGTTGTGGCGGTGATCACCCCCGCTCCGAATGCCGTTTTCTCGACGCCATCTGCAGGCACTGCGAGAAGCGGGGGCACATCGCTAAGGTGTGCCGCAACAAAAAGAGCTACAGCCTGCAGCGACGAGGAAACAGCCCACGACGATGAGATGGCACCCCCCCCAGGCATCGAGACCGACCGACTGAGAGCCGGTGGAGCCACGACAGCCACAGCAGACGACTCAGCGAAGCACAGCGGCACGAGGAAACCCACCAGACGGTCGTCATCGGCCATTCATCAACCATGGACGCCCGAAAGGTACACGTGGCCCTGTGCATCGAGGACCAGCCCTGCGAGATGGAAGTGGACTCCGGGTCCTACCTCTCAATGGTTTCTTGGCACACAATCAAGCGCCTAGTCCCTACCATCCGCTGCAACGAACTAGACGACCAGAAGCTAATCCTGAAAGACTATCAGGGAAATCGCATCCCTGTGGCCGGCATCGGGCACTTTAAGGTCATGTTCAAGGACCACACCGACATCTTGCCACTCACAATCGTGGACCGGGACCGCCCCAGCTTGCTCGGCCTGCAACGGTTCGCCCTGCTGGGCATCGAGGTGACGGGCATTCATCACACAGACGAGGCCGACTGGGAAGCGACGCTCGTAAAAGAATTCCAGGAGGTCTTCGACAACTCGCTAGGCAAGTACCGAGGGCCCCCTATATCTTTCAACCTTAACCCTAACATCACCCCAATCCGCCTCAAACCCCGGTGAGTGCCTTTTGCGCTCAAGCCGAAAATCGACGAGCAACTAGACAAGCTCGTCGCGCAAGGGGTACTAGAGCCCAACGACCATGCCCGTTGGGAAACGCCCATAGTCACCCCCATCAAACCCGATGGCTCCATAAGAATTTGCGGGGACTACAAGGCCACCCTCAATCACGCACTGCAGCAAAGCGCCTACCCAGTCCCAGTAGTACAGCACCTTCTGCACTCACTGGGGGGAGGCCGGGTCTTCGCAAAACTCGACTTGGCACAAGCGTATCAGCAATTGCCGGTCGATGCAGAGACAGCCAAAGCGCAAATGATTGTTACACACCGGGGGGCTTTTCGGTGCAACCGACTCCAATTTGGAGTCAGCGTCGCCCCAGGAGTCTTCCAAAGTCTCATGGAGAGGCTCCTCCAGGGGATAAAAGGGGTGGTTCCCTACTTCGATGACGTACTGATCGCAGAGAACAGAGAACAATTGGAGACCCGTTTAAGGGCGGTGCTTAACAAATTCAAAGACGCCGGCCTTAAAGTCAAAAGAAACAAATAAAGACAAACGGCTGGCGCGGGTATTGAGCTGGGTAGAGTGGGGGTGGCCAGAAAATGATGGCGGCGAGCAGTTCAAAGCCTTCTGAAACCGCCAAACTGAGCTGTTCTCACAAAGGGGTTGCATACTCTGGGGCGACCGGGTAGTCATACCGGAAGCGCTGCAAAACAGAGTGTTGGCAATGCTGCATGAGGGACACCCGGGGATCGTCAAGATGAAAGCCCTGGCCAGAAGCTACGCTTGGTGGCCAGGGACGGACAAACAAATCGAGACATGGGTCGCCAGCTGCAGCAGGTGCCAAGAGTCGAGAGCCAACCCCCCCGCCGCCCCAGTCCTGGAATGGGAGACCCCAAGAGGACCATGGTCGCGAATACACATAGACTTCGCCGGGCCAACCAAGGGGCATACATTCCTCATCACCGTAGATGCTTACTCCAACTGGCTGGAGGTAAGCACTATGAGGGCAACAACAACAGAAGCGGTCATCAACAAGCTCAACAAACTCTTTGCAACACACGGGCTAACGGATGTCATAGTGTCGGACAATGGGCCACAGTTCACAGCACTGGCATTTGAGAAATACCTGGCCGAACGAGGCATCCGACACGCCTTGACCTCGACGGCTCACCCGGCGGCGAACGGTAGGGCGGAACGGATGGTCCAATACACAAAAAAAACCATCCAAAAAATCGAAACCGGCGACATCCAGGAAAAAATAAACAAACTACTCTTCATACAGCACATCACGCCGAGCTCGACCACGAACAAGAGCCCAGCAGAGTTACTAATGGGAAGAAAACTGAGGTCCCCACTGGACCGCCTACACCCCACCTACAACCCAGAGAAACCCCCGGACTCCTCCAGCCGGAACCGGGCATTCAACATCGGGGACACGGTCTACGCGAAGAACTTCACGGGAGACCCCCTCTGGGTACCTGCACAAATAACACAGGTAACCGGGCCCCGATCATACAGACTCCAAACGACAGACGGAAGAAACTGGAAGCGGCACATCGACCACCTACGGTCCAGACTAGCCGCCAGCACCCCCAACACCTCAACAACAACAACCAAGGAAAGCAGAGAGGGAGGGGAAGCCTCAACATCCAAGCCGGTAAACGACGGCAGGCCGAAATCATCAACGGCACCCCCCCCAACGCAAGCCGAACATCCCCCACCAGAAGACAGAAACGCTCAAATAAACCAGCCATACTCACCAGCAGACCTCGAACTGTCGCAGACGGGATCTTCACCTGGAAGGTACAGCCAAGCCAGCTCAACCAGCCCGGAAAGACCGAGCGAGAGCAACAGGAACCGCAACTCGACCAACCCAGGTAGTCCGGGCGGGAGCTGCGGCAACAGGCCCGGCTCACCCTTCCAGGCGGTTCCATCAGCGAAGTGGAGAGCAACGCGGAGCCCGTCCGAACCGGCCGACGATCACACACAGACTGAACCGCGCAGGTCAGCCAGACAGATTCGGAGCCCCACCTACCTGCGCAACTACGTCACGACGCTGCTTCAGACGAAACCATGAGGGGAGGGGTGTTCTGTATTAACATTCTTGAAGACTCGCATTCTGATTGGTCCACCCGGACCGCAACTCGATTGGTCCATTAAATGACTGTGATTGGAGCGCTAAGAATCTACCGCGATAGGCCGAGCCGATCGCGGGAGATTCAAAGCGCTGCCATTGGCTGCCGAGCCGCCGGCTGGCTGTATAAAGCCAAGCGGCTCGCACACTTTAACTGTCCTTATTCAGATGCTACAATAAAGAGCTGATTGTTCACTTTTGCGTCTCGCCTCTTATGTGACCCGATCCACCGATCTAACAGCTAACATCCTCATTTGGCAATACTATTCACTTAATTTAAAATGCTTGTTCATTGCCAATGTATTTTTAAACATGCATATATTTTAATAATATAATGGAGCCAATAACCACACTTTATATTCATTAATACAGAATCTTAAATAGAAGATTATGTCTTCTAAAGAAACTTCTGTAGGTACTACTATTGACTTTAACCCCTTTTTAAAGTATGAACATATAAAATCAATTAATTACAAATAACGATTTCCAAGAAAACTATATCAATTCAATTATGGTTGGTGGAGAATAAAAATGTGCTATGGCTTTGAATTATAAAGTATTTATTTTCTAACAAAGTTAATTGTAGATGACTATAACCGGTGAATTGATTCATTGATACACACACACACACACACATACACACACACACACACCTTTTTAAGGACAAGTATAAACCTGAGATCTCTCTTTTAAACCAATGGGAGTAGAACGGATGGCACTGCAAGTTTAACAGAAGCCACTGATGATAGACAACTTTCTATAACTATCAGATCTGGTTTGCAAACATCTAGATGGAGGTTACAGTTGGAATTTTTTGTAGCTCTTTGTTGCCATTTAGTAGCTATGCAGATTTCTGCAGCCCTGATTCTGTTCATTATGGAAACTTAAATAATTAGACTTAAACTTAAAACTATAAAATGATTACTTAAATAATTAGTTATGCAATTAATTTTTGCTTTTTATGTTTATAGGATTTATTTGGGGTGAAATTAAACAAATGTGGGATGGTGGCCTGCAAGATTACATTCATGACTGGTGGAATCTGATGGATTTTGTTATGAACTCTCTATACCTGGCAACAATATCACTGAAAATAGTTGCATTTTCAAAGGTAACAAACCCTAATAAATACTAGATGCTTGACATTTTCTTTGGATGTATTTTGTTCCGTATCTATTCTTCTGAATCCATGTAAATACAGGTAGTCCATGTTTAACTATCACAGTTGGGGCTCACAACTTGGTCATGAAGCAAAACAGTCACTAAGTGTAACCACAACTGTTCTTGTGATCTTATTTCAGCTTTCTTTTGATTTACAAACCTGTGGAGGTTGTAAATCTGAGGACTGATCATAAAGTTACTTTTTCATCACTGTTGTAAGTGTGAACTGTTTCTAAATGTGGCAATTGCCACATTTAGGACTACCAGTTAGTGCTTACCATCTCAGTTTATGGTTACAAATTCTTTTAAATTTATACTTAGGTTTATTTCGACACCCAACATCTAGGACCAAGAAATGTAGGAAATTGTCACTTTCTGCTTCCTAGAAATCAACTAACTCTGCATCTCTTCTATATAGGCATGTTAGAAAACCCATGTAATGATTCCATGGACCATGTGTATATATCATTAATTTCTCCCAATGATCAGTTTTATATTATTATTACTTATAAGATGTAACACAGCCATCTTTCTCCATGTTTTATATTAAACATATATTCCATATTTCAGGCATCAAAAATGACAGAAATGGAATCAAAAATATGTGGTGATCCATTTCCATTATTAATTCTCTAAGTCCCAGGATGCAGGATGCCTTTCCTTAAGGATATCTATCTATGCTATCAGGCCCGATGGGGTGGGCACATTCCTGGTTTCTTTCCCCAAATATTGTCATCTAATGTGAGCTAGGAAGTATTCCATTTCCAGGGCAGCCCCTGCCTTGTAGAACATTTTGCCCCCAGAAAATCATAGGCATCCAACCATTTAATTTTCCACAAAATCTTGAAAACCTGCTTTTTCTCCCAAGTGTTGGGAGATTAGATTATGGTATGTTCGCATGAATTGGTAGCAGTTTTTTGTTGTTTTTATTTTTTTATGTTTTAATTACAGTTGTGTTTCATAGGTTTAAAATGTTTTTATATATTTTTTAATCTTTGGAAGCTGCCCAAAGTTGGCTGAAAGATGTGATGCTATCTTTGGAACGAATGAATGAATGAATGAATGAGCTTTATTTTGGGCATACTCTTGAATTCATAAAAAATAAAAGTGATTTAAAGGGCTGCTACAATAGAGAAAGACTTATTAATATTCTCTCGTTATTTTGTTTACAGTACAGTGGGCTGCTTGCAAGACAGAGCTGGGATATGTGGCATCCAACACTGGTTGCAGAGGCCCTGTTTGCTATTGCAAATATTTTTAGTTCTTTGCGTCTAATATCATTATTCACTGCAAATTCTCACTTGGGACCACTGCAGATCTCTCTTGGACGAATGCTACTGGATATTTTAAAATTTCTGTTCATCTACTGTCTTGTACTGCTAGCTTTTGCAAATGGACTTAACCAGCTATATTTTTATTATGAAACAAATGAACCTGGTCGCTGCAAAGGAATACGCTGTGAAAATCAAAATAATGCATTTTCAACGTAAGTTACGTTTTAAAAACCTTATTTTATACCCTGTTTAAAATTACATATTTTATCTGTATCCTTTTTCCTTTCTCAGAATGGCAATTAGATTAGATTAACCGAGTTGGAAGGAACCTTATAGCTCATCTAGTCCAACCTCCTGCCCAAGCACCATTCTGACAAATGGCAGTCCAATCTCTTTTTGAAAGCCTCCAATGATGAAGCTCCCACAACTTCCGAAAGCAAGCTGTTCCATTGGTTGATTGTTCTCACTGTGAGAAAATTTCTCCTTATTTCCAGGTTAAATCTTTCCTTGTTCCATCCATTTTTCCTTGTCTGGCCTTCACATACTTTGGAAAAAAGCTTTTGGGTTTTTTTTACCTAAGTGACTTTACCTTTCTCGACATTGAATTTTTTTTTTCCTATTTTGTTAGATAGGACCCAGTGTTCAAGTCTGTCAAGATCCATCTGGATCTTGAGCTTATCCTCTAGGGTGATAGCTACTCCTGCTAGCTTAGTATCATCTGCAAATTTGGTAAGTTCCTCTTCTATTCCCTCATCTAAGTCGTTTATGAAGATATTGAAGAGTACTGGGCCTAAGATGGAACCTTGTAGTACTTCACTGCTTATTTCCCTCCATGTAGATGTAGTACTGTTAAGGACTACTCATTGAATATGGTTTGTCAGCCAGTTACAAATCCATCTGGTGGTGATACTATGTATCCCATTTTTTCCCACCTTACCAAGAAGTAAGTTGTGGTCTACTTTGTTGAATGCCTTGCTGAAGTGTAAATTATATTATGTCTACTGTATTTGGACTACTAATTTAGTCACTATGTTGAAGAATGAAATAAGATTGTTTTGCATGATCTGTTTGTTTGTTTTTTTGAAATTTTATTGGCTTTTTAAAAACAAACATAAACAAACAAAACATAAAAACATCAAACTTTCTTCCATAAGCATACAAACAGTGTGTCGGTTGGTTTACAAATTATTTTGTGCATCCATTTTGTAGTCTTCCATTACAGTTACATTACATAAAAGCTCATATCATCAATCAAAAATTAGATATCCTAGTATCATTATTAATCAATCATTTGACTATAGTTTTATTCATTCATATTTTACGAGATAACCATAATTTACTTAATTTATTTTATAACCATTCATATTATCCTCCCAAATCTATCCTAAATACATTTTGTGGATATAATAAAAAAAGAAGTACGTCTTTATATATTTATTATTTTCTAAAAGTCTACTTATTTCATTACTGTATTTTATTATCTAACCATTGATAGAAAAGATCCCAAATTTTATAAAATTGTTTATCCTCTTGCTCTCTAATTTCAAATGTCAATCTACACATTTTAGCACATTCCAATATTTTCTTAATGATTTCCTCCTGCGATGGTATTTTCTCATTTTTCCAGTTTTTAGCAAATACAATCCTAGCCACTGTTAATACATTTACAATCAGGTATTTCAAATCTTTGCTATATGTTTCAGGTAAAATTCCCAATAAAAATATCTCTGGTTTCAAGTCTATGTTTTTTTGTCATTTTTTCCAACCACATGTGGATTTTAGTCCAGTATTTTTTAGCGTCCGCACAAGTCCACCACATATGGTAATATGAGCCAGGTGTCTGATGACATTTCCAACATTTTCCAGATTTATTCTTGAACATTCTTGCTATTCTTGTTGGGGGGAAATGCCACCTGTAAAACATCTTATACAAATTTTCTTTATAAGCTGTTGACATTGTCATTTTATAATTTTGAGACCACAATTTTTGCCATTTCTCTAAATCAATCCCATATACAAAGTTCTTCCCCCAAGCAATCATAGTTTCTTTAACTTGTTCTTCTAGTTTGATTTCTAATAAATATCCATACAGTTTTTTAATCACCTTTTCATCAGTACCTGTCAGGATCTTATCTAGATCAGCCAATTTATCATAAAAACCTTCTGTTTTAAAATCTTTATCATACCTTGAATGTATTTGCGCATATGAAAACCAATTCATCTTTATACCTTGTTCCTCTAGTTTTTGCATAGGATTAAGTTCACCCTTTTCATTCAGTATTTCCCCATATCTAACTGTTTGTTCCTTCTTGTAAATTATAGGATAGGAAAATGCTTCAACAGTCGATAGCCAGACTGGAATTTTCAAATAACATTGTCTTTTAATCTTCTCCCAGTTTAACCACAGAGACTCCCGTATATAAAGTCTTCTAAAATACCCCTGTGTTTTAGTTCCCTTGTACCATAAAAAAGCGTGCCACCCCAACAACAAATCATGACCTTCTAATGTCAACAATCTAGTATTTCTTAATGTTATCCATTCCTTGACCCACATCAGACTTGTAGCTTGGTAGTACAACTCCCAGTTAGGCAAACCAAATCCTCCTCTAATTCTAGCATCTTGTAAAAGCTTTAACTTTATTCTCGCTTTCTTACCTTGCCATGTATATTTCAACACAATTTTAGTTAAATTTTCAAAATAGTCTTTTTCAAGCCTAACTGGAATTGTTTGGAACAAATATAAGATTCTGGGTAATATATTCATCTTGATTGTTGAGATTCTCCCTATTAGTGACAGTTGTAGATTTTCCCATTTCACCAAGTCTAGCGCTATCTGCTGTTTAAGTTTGATATAATTATTCTCTTTTAATGTACTACATCTTGCTGTCAAATGTATCCCCAAATACTTGATCTTATTCGTGACTTGAATTTTCAATAACTGCCAATTTTTCCTTTTGTCTTGATAACATATTCTTTGTCAAAATCTTTGTCTTATCTTTGTTTATTTTCAGACCAGCCACCTTGCCATATGCCTCTATCTTTTCCAATAATTTTGGTGCTGTTTCTAAAGGGTCTTCTAAGATAAAAACCAAATCATCCACAAAGGCTTGCAGCTTAAATTCTTCCTTTTTAATTTTCATTCCTTTTATACTCTTTTCATCTCTAATATTTCTGTTTAACACTTCCAAAGTTAACACGAATAGCAAAGGTGATAGTGGGCACCCTTGCCTTGTTCCTTTTCTTATGTTAATAGAGTCTGTCAATTCTCCTTCTATCATTACCATTGTCGTTTGCTTGTAGTATATAGCTTCTATTGCTTGGATAAATTTTCTAGCAAAACCCATCTGTTCCAACAATAATAACATAAATCGCCAATTCACATTATCAAATGCCTTTTGTGCATCTAGAAATATCAAAGCCATTTGTTTTTCAGGATGTGCCTCATAGTATTCCAAGGTATCCAAAATTACTCTCATATTATCTTTAATTTGTCTCTTTGGCAGAAATCCATTTTGGTCAGAATGAATAAAGTTATTTAAATATTTTTTAAGTCTTTCTGCCAATATTGAAGCAAAAATTTTATAGTCTGCATTTAATAGAGAAATAGGTCTATAGTTCTTAATTTGCAATAGATCAGCCTCCTCTTTTGGAATAAGTGTAATATAGGCTTCTGACCATGATTTGGGTATCTTTTTCTTTAACATAACTTCATTCATAACTTCTAGCAATGGAAGATGCAACGATTCTTGTAATGTTTTATAAAATTCTGCCGGAAGTCCATCTGGACCTGGTGCCTTTCCATTATTCTGCTTCTTAAGTGCTTCAGTTAATTCCATCATAGTTATATTGCTTTCTAACATTTTTTGAGTCTCTTTAGGTATCTTGCGTAAATTAGCATTCTGTAAATACTGCTTAACTCTTTCCTCATCAATATTCTCTTGCTTATATAATTTCCCATAAAAGTCTCGAATGATTTCCTTCTTCTCTTTACTGCCATGGCAAATTTGGCCTTGATCATCTATTAATTGCAATATTTTCCTTGATTCTTTCTCCTTTCTCAGTTTATATACCTGGTTTGTTTGCATCTTCAAAGTAGTTCTGTTTAGCACCTCTAATTTTCTGTGCTAATTCTTCTTTCTCTGTTTTGTGCTTTTGTGTTTAATTATATCCATTTTTAGCTTGATGTCCTTTTTGTGTGGCATTTTCTGTAGCTCTTTTTCAAGTCTTCTATGATCATCCTCTAGAGCCTTGGAGGCTTGCCTTTTCCTAGTATTCCTTTTCCTTGTATAATCTATTATTAAGCCTCTAGCATATGCCTTCATTGTATCCCATACATTCTGAATTGATATATCTTCTTTTTTATTTTCTCTAAAGAAAAAGGCCATTTCTTTCTCCATCCGCTGTGTAAAGTCTTTTTCCTTTAAAATAGTATTATTTAACATCCATCTCAATGTTCTTTTTTGTCCTTTCCATTTAATTGTCATTGGATTGTGGTCTGCCCAAGTACTTCTTTCAATATTTATTTCTTGGATATTAAATATTAATTCTGTTGACATCCATATCATATCTATTCTGGACCATGATAAATGTCTATTTGAATAGAAGGTATATTGTTTAGTTTTAGCATTTCTTTCTCTCCGTGTCTTTTAAATTTAATTCATCAACCATTTTAAAAAAGGATTTTGGGAGAGTCTTTCTGTTTTGCTTTGTTGTTGTTGCTGTATAGTCCAATTTATTGTCTACAATTCCATTAAAATCTCCCATCATAACTATATTGGCATAGTCCAGTTCAATTATTTTCATATGTAATTTTTTGTAAAATTCTTTTTGTTTGTCATTCGGAGCATAGATTGCAATCAGGAGTGTTTTCATATTATTGTCCATTATTTCCACCACTAGTACTCTTCCATCTTCATCAGTATAGATCAATTTTGCTGGGGTGGTTTTGCATGATCTGTTTTTAACAAACCCAACTGCTAGTTATTACTGTACTAGTTTCTAGATGTTGACAGGTTTGTTTTTTATTATCTTTTCCAGGTCTTCCTGGGTATTGGTGTTAGGCTGATTGGTCTGTAGTTTCTTGGCTCTGTTTTTTCCCCTTTTTTGAAGATGGGAACCACATCAGATGGGATGATGGGATGGGATGAAGATGGGAACCACATCAGCTCTTTTCTTGTCCTCTGGTAGTTTCCTGGTGCTCCAGGATTTTTGA